AACCTTCAACTGAACACCGTGTGTTAGAAAATAACTTCTAACAGGAGTATTCTAAATATTATAGCAAAGAGATTAAATTCATCTGTGCAGTTTTGACCATTTCCATTAAACCCAGGGTGGCATTCACAAACATAGGATCCGTTGGTGTTCGTGCATGTAGCATTCACGTGACAAGAATATGATTTCCCTTATACTCGTTGAGATCTGTAAAATCATAAACATAAAAAGAAAATTGTAATAGGGAAAAGTTGTTCTGTCCTGTTAGCCTATCCATTAAGTCTTGATGGTTAAAATGATTACAAAATAAAGGCATCAAGTACCTGTGCAATCGCATCCATCTCCAACGTATCCGGGGTGAAAAGTGCAAACGTATGATGTTTTGGTGTTCGTGCAGGTAGCATTCACGTGACACGACTGATTCGTTACTAAATGGGTTGATATCAATGCTTTTCATCTCAAAGTTATAACTGTGCAATCTGAATTTAGGATACAACTAAAAAAATAGAAGTGGAATGTTATATAGAGGTGTTTACAGCCAGGTTCCTATCCAAAAATCGTAAAATTGTATAACATATTGATATGGGAATATTTAATGAAGAGAGAGAAGGAAATGTTATTGATGTCTACAAGACAATTTCTAACAATAACGATTTGATAAAAACAAACTATGAAAAAAAATGTTGACGACCGCTTTGATAATTCTGTTAGAGGCATAGACATAAATTTGATTTTGTTATGAGTACTATCAATCATTTCACTGGTGATCGTGCCAATCAGTTCAAATCTTTCCAATACCTTCTGCTTATTTTTTGTCGTTAATTGACATTTTTTTGTTACACTAAAAATCACTTTTATGATATAATAAACAGATTTTCTCGTAAATTTATACATATTCTCATGAAAATTATTAAATTCTGTGTCTGGCTCATATCTATCAATTGACCACATTTCACACAAAAAAATTCTTTGTTTTTCTTTTTAATTTTCATATCTGGACAATATTGCTCAATTTTCACCACTCGTTCTTTAATCTGTTAATCACAAATTTAACACTTTATTTCATCTAATTAATCGTGTATTTCTTTACTGAAATTAATTCTATACTATTATCTGAGATATTTTTTAAAATAAAAATTATACCCCAAACTTGGTTGTTATTCTTTGATTTCTAAGAAATTAAAACATCCCGGATGTGTAAGAATTCTTTTGTGATATATATCTGATAATTATTTCACAAGATAATTTCGGCAAATTATTCCCATAACATGTTGAGTAGTATAGAGATTTGAGATCATTTTGACAAAATGGTCTCGAACCGTCATCGAAAATACTATTTACTTTGTTTAATAGCGTTTGCCTTACGCTTTCCAGGACGCGTAGCTTATACAAAATTTCAATTCAAAGTGTCTCTGATCTGAAAACAAAAATTAATTCTAAACCTTCCTTACGAACCAAACACACCAAAACTGATGGAAAATTAATTAATTATTTTTTGTCGTGTTACTGACGTCTTCAATGTGCGTATGTTATTAGGAAAAACGCTAAAAATAGACTTGTTTCCAATTTTTATATTCCCGGGCATGTAAAACAAGTTTCATTGCTGGAAATATTTCTGAAGAAGAATTAGACAGCTGATATTTTCCTGTTCACAGTCAGTTGAACTTTTACAGAAGGTTCCTGCAAGAGTGTCTACTTATTTGGGGCAAGCCAAGTTGTTGTATAGAATTTCTCATTGATTCAGATGATTGAACTTTGGACCGGAAATCCTGCAGTTCAAAAACCTTAATTAAGATTTTTTTTTCTCTCTCTTTTGACAAATGCGCAAAAATTTTTTTATTTGACAACAGAGTTCAAGTATGCGCAGTACTACCATGATTTCGTGTGCTGTTGCTTCTGTTAATAAACAGATCTCTTGAACACGGTATGGATGATTGTAAAGTTGCTTATTTCAGAAAATAATTCCTTGCCAGTAAGAGCAAAACGAACTTCTCCCGTGAAAAAAAGTTATGGTGATCACTCTAATTGCAACTTTAAGAAACCGAAAATCGTGGTAACTGAGCTAAATCAGCTAATTATATAAAAAGATCGAAGGAAAGAGCCACTCTTTCCTCCGCAAATTTTATGATGTTTCTGGGATCTCATCTCACCGGCGGTGTGATGAGATCGCAGAAACAGAGAAAGTTCTGTTGACCCCTAGGAGTGACCAGCATAAAATTACTCCTCACATTATCACCTCGGAATCACACATTTAGGTTATAAGAATAAAACAAATGATCATAAAAAATAAAGAGGCTATTGATTGATAAACAAATTCTCCTTATGAGCACCTAGGGAAATGTATAGAAAACAGTATGGAGAATATGCATAATGATGCTAGGATGTAAGTTTATTGTTACTATACTCAGTCAGTACTTATTTAGACTGCATAGTCAGATAACTATGACATCAACAGATTTTATGGTAGTTACGACTCTTTCAGCTGCATCCGTTCGTTTTGTTTGATCTTCGCAATGATAATAAATCTTTGGCGGTTATGGTATGAAATTAGCGTGTAATGGCTGCCATAAAGCAGGAAACAAAAAATCTTTCGCGAGCTCATATTTTTGGTAAAGCAAAGTGGCGTGCTACTACAGCGCAAGTGCAGAATAATACGATTGCTAAGGAATAGGTGATAAATGACGAACATGGGAAAATATACAGCTGTTGATTGGCGCGAGGAAACATTGAATGGCTGAAATTGGGAAAAAGAGAGAGAAAGAACAAAGCAGTAAGTAAGCGCGGGAAAATGTGGAGGTGCTCAAAAGCGCGGGAAAAGCCCAGCAACGGGAAATTTTGCCAAGGTGGAACTACTCGTTGGATCTAGCGCGCGATGTGCACGTGCGAACATTTTACTTTGGGTTCATCGCTCTAATACTATTGTGCATCAATCAGTCGTTGAAAACTGAGACCGAAGGTTGTCTTAATACGGTGAAATAAAACACAATGAAAGTAATCGAGTGGTGAACTTTTATTTTTCTATCTACATTCAAAGGATTAAAGTTGATTCCTGACAGGCACAGTTATGATCAGATATAAAGTTGATGTTCAAATAAGTTTTAAATCATATTTGACCAATTCTTTGTATAACTCGATATCGACCTAAGGTTCAGACGTGCTTGATAAATCAAGAACAAGTGAGGTCGAAATTTCATTCATAGGCCTTGTTAAAAGGCTTCCTTCCTGGATGACATAACATCTCAAAAGAATCAACCGTCCGACAAAGTGTTTCTATACAAACTGAAGTTTTTTTTTCGTGGTAAGTTTAACATATGTTAAATATCGGGGCTAGGTAAGGCTAAAAGCAAATCTCAAATCTCCTTATCTCTCAGTCTGTAGCAGGCTCTGGAATCGCCTGCGAAATATGGCGCTCAGCTGTTTTCCTGAGAACCACAACTGCCGTTTGTGGTTTGCTCGCCCTTTCGCATGTCTTTACTGTCTTGGAGACTGGAACTGACTTTATATGTCTCTATCCACCTCTAACCCCCCTTAAAACTACATACTATTTTTTTTTTAATTCCCTGACATTAAGATAAAAACGTTTAAAGATTTTAGCTACACCTCTAACTGGTTAAAATCTACCAGACTAATCGAACCTAATGATTAAATAAGATTAAAAAAGAAGTTGAACCTTGGGCGACATGTTCTTGATATTGGGGTTGCATGATTATATTCTTGTTATTTCCTTTTAGATTTTTGTTATGGTAAAGCATAGTATGAATTGAGAAAGAAGGAACATGAAATCCAACCACGGCTTTGTACTATGAGGGGTGATCAGCGCCAATGTTTTCTTTCAAATTCTGCTATAAAGAGCTAACAATTTCCATTTCTTCTCATCAGAACTGAAACTAAACCGACAGAAGAGAATTTTAGAATTTAGAAAAAAACGCAAAGGAATTTAGCTGACGCTGAAAGTCACTCATCAGATCCACAACTGAACCAAGAGAACAACATTTGAATTATAAGAACACTTCTCTCTCTTTGTGTCGCCACAAACCAAAAGTGATTTTTGGCTAGACTACCCGTTTTTGGATAATTCAGTATGTCTATATATCACCAGAATGCCGAATTTATTCCTCGATCTTTACGGAACAACCAAACTTTTTTTAAAACGGATGTGTCCTATACCCCCTTTCATGGGCAAAAAAAATGAAAGAAAACCCGGGTTGAAGAGAATTTAAGAATTAAGAACACAACAGATCAGAACAAAAATTGGACCAAGAGAACAACATTTAAATCATAAGAACAGAAACTGAGACATGAGACAGAAATTGAAGTAACAAGACAGAAATTACTACAACTGATCATCCCGCTGTTCAATTTTTGTTCTGATCAGGCCTGGGGACGTGTCACGATCACGAGTAACCGAGTGAGGCCCGGGGAAGTTACTCAAGTGCCACTTTCGCTAGGAGCAGTCCTCTATCTTGCGGTGCAACACCCAAGCTACAACAATATATATTTTAACACTAAAAAATTATTGCTTTATGATTAAAATGATGCCCATATAACATAATCTAAGTTATAGGAAGTTAAAAAAAATTGACATTACTTAACTGGTAACATTTCCATTTTTCTAAGATCTGATATTTAGAATGCTCCACAACATGATGTTCCAATGGAGGCGCCCTAAACCTTGCCAGCCTAAAATGCGCTGTCTTTTTACAACAGACTGCTCTTTCTATCGGTTCATTGGCTTAACAAACTACACAGGATGTTGGAAGAACGAGAGAAAAGTTTGTAAATACTCTTTCACTGCTCACAATCTACGAACATTTTGAGTGTTCTACTAACATATTGGGTAGTTTATCACGCTAGTAAACGAATAGAAAGTGCAGTCTGTTACTTTTGTAACTAAAATTATATGTATCGGTACAATAAACTATTGATTTCCCACCTATTAGAGCGCTTTTTTTTAAATACGAAAATAAGCGACTAAGCACTGAGAGAATACAGAGCAAGTTCTGTTGACCGGGCCTTGTGTGAGGAGGCACTAACTCTATTAACTCTATTGTTACAATACTTACTTAATACTTACTTAGACAGCATAGTTTTCAGTGTTTAGTTTGTTATTTCGAAAAAAACCTCAATGTCAGATGGAGTAAAATGACGACTTCCTGTGAAAAATCCACAGTTTTCACCTGAATAACCCGTGGGGTTTTTGTACGTCTGGCCGCATTCAGTATAAGAGTGTTGATTGTTTATAGCGTCGTCATATATGAGGATGTCACGTCCCACACCAAAAATGGGTCCGTAGGAGGAACATCTGTGCATTGCGTATTGCTGGTTTTGGTATTGTGTCAGCTTCACAGGATTGTATCCTTTGACGTTGTAAAGAGAGAAAACAAAAGCTTTGCTGGCTGAAGAAGAAGCACAGGGACCTAAAATGAAAAGATTTAGGAGCATTAGAAACTATGCGAATGAGAAAAAAATACATGATGATAACCATAAAAAAATTATTTTTTTTATTTGCCGAGCTAGAACCGAACACTTAAATTTGTCAGAAAAAATTTCAAAGAACTCGAGAGCATATTTTCACTTTTCAAAAAAAGCACTCGAGATATGGTCCGTAGTGTTGTTCAAAGGCAACATATGATCTAAAGAGAGCATTAATTAAACATCCTTCGTCTCAGCTCTCCAATATGAATAATGGATGCAGCGAAACACGAGGAAATGACACGAAATGGAGCTGTCAGAATCAAATCAAATCAAAACCAAACTCTAATCAAAAATCAAATCCGAAACAAGACTTTAAGTTAAAACCCGTTTCAAACGCGTTTTCAGGCTATTTACGAGTTAATCTACTTTGGGATCGTAATTGTTAATGTGATATTTTCTGTTTCTAAGATGAACTCACTGCTACTAGAAAAGTCCACAACTAATCGATTTGTTATCTGTTCTACATGTTAGAGATGTTTGCTTTATTTTTACTCACTGCTGGTCCAGGACACGTCAGTGTATCCACCAAAGATATAACTGTTAACTTTGATGATGGTCACTGTGGGTCCCCTCCCATCGCAGTTACTGTGGAATGTCGATGCTGCCCAACCGTCAGTCTCTGCGTGCCAACACCTCACAAACCTGCTACGCTCTTTATTGATAAGGACTGGGTCCAAATACGAAAACAGCACCTTCAAGTACTGGTTGTAATCAAGACTTCGAAGTATGGCGGACAAACCGAGGCCTGAGGAGGGAAAAGAAAAGGAAAAAATTACAGTTGGCCAAATAAATGTAACAAGAGCTTTGATTGGTTGTGATGCCTTTGAATCTAAGGTGGATAATTTCATCACCCTTCGTTTGGCTCGCTAGATAATCTTACATTACTGATCCGGCAAGCTAGAAAATTCCCAGCCCGTCTACCAGGCGGCATTTTAGGCGGCAGAGAGAATGACATTTGTTTTAATGTTCACAAAGCAACAAGGTGGATAATCAGACATGGTTTGATGCTGCTATGGTTTAAAGATTTAATGAATATAACCGAAAAGTTACAATTCATAGACCCAACGTTTCAACACTCCTGTCTAGTGTCTTCATCATCACCCCTGATGAATGCACTAGACAGGAGTGTCGAAAGATTGGGTCTGTGAATTGTAACGTCTCGGTTACATTCATTAAAATCTTTGAGCCATAGTAGCATCCAAACATGTCTGAAATTTTTTTGTTAACTTAGCCGTTCTTTCAAGTGGCCCCAACAATTTCGTTTAATGTAATACCCACAACCCCCGCGGCAACTCAGACAAGTCCTGTCAGGCTCGTCACGCAACGCGTTGCGTGACGAACTTAAATGAATACTACAAAAGGACTTTATAAGCCTACACATACCCTTAAAATGACAAAAAAGTAAGCTTTCCGTAATCTAGCGACACAACTTTCTGAGAATATTTCTACAATACGCGATTTGATTTTGCTACAGGCCCTACTAAGTATTTATCCTTGGAAAGGGGTGTTTTTCTTGATTACCTGCTTCATAGAATACTTCGACGTCTGTTGGAGAGAAATGAGACCCCCCTGTAAAAAAACCACAGTCACCAGTTGAGAACCCTGAGGGAGTCGTGTACGTACAACCGCATCTAGTGTAGGAGTTCTGGTTGTTTCCAGAGTCGTCGGATATGTAGATATCATGATGACACCCAGCGCCAAAGGTGGGTCCATACGTATTACATCTGTACATTGCATATTGCTGATTTCGGTATTGCGTCAACTTTACGGGATTGTATCCTTTGACGTTATAGAGAGAGAAGATGAAAGCTTTACTGGCGTAGGAATAAGCGCAAGAACCAGCTGAAATAGAAGAACAATGTAGTCGTACATTAAAAAGCTGAAAGAAAACATAAACCCCCTGATGAAGGAAAAGGGTGGGGAGTTCATTTTCCATCATGAGCTAGACAAAGAGTTTTTTCTCAGACTAGAGATTTGTGAAAGGGAGGGAGATATTTTACTAGTTTGGGTATAGAAACGAGTACCAAAAACAATTATAGAAGATTTTAGGGGTTACTTTGGAGAAAAGCTAGTAAATATTTTTGAGACTTGAAGCAAATGTTTTAGGATGTAATGTTGTTCTGCAGGTGTATCACATAGAAAACATTTCTATAGACGACACTGGTGTGAAGAAATCTTGATGGCCAAAACACTAATATGAAAAAATAAAGGCTTAGAGCTAGTATCACAGGAGCATCGTTTAATATTTCCTCCGGCACCCTCTTCCCCCCCTTCCTTAAATCCCAAAAGGAATGAACTTGTCTTGTCCCCTCTTAAAAATTTGATATGCCTGCCTCCGCTCCAGGACGCTTCAGTGTATCCACCGAATATGTACTCGTTCACTTTGACGATTGTCACTGTAGGTCCTCTCCCATCGCAGTTGCTGTGGAATGTCGATGCTGCCCAGCCGTCAGTCTTAGCATGCCAACACCTAACAAAGTCAGTACGGGATGCAGTGGGAAGAACTGGGTCTAAAAACGAAATCAGCTTTCCCAAGTATTTATTGGGGTCCAGGCCTCTAAGTATAATAGATGCACCAAGGCCACCTGTGTGCGTAAAAGAAACTCGAATGTAAATTGCAATAACAGACGTTCTAGAATATAGAAAGATGTTATTTCTTCTTTGAAATTCACAACCGTGGGAGTTTTTTACAAAAATTAGAGCCCCAGATCTTCTTATTCACAGGACAAGGTGCTAACCATGTGATCCCATTTAAACTCAATATTTCCCTGTGCACTTATTATGTGACGAACTCAAATGAATGCTGGGAAAGAGACTTTATAAGCTTACACATTCCTTTGAAATGACAAAAAAGTTAGCTATCTGTACTCTAGCAACACAACTTTCTGAGAATATTTCTACAATACACGATTTGATTTTGCTACAGGCCCTACTAAGTATTTATCCTCGGAAAGGGGTGTTTTTCTTGATTACCTGCTTCATAGAAGACTTCGACGTTCGTTGGAGAAAAGTAAGACCCCCCTGTAAAAAAACCACAGTCACCAGTTGAGTACCCTGAGGGTGTCGTGTACGTACAACCGCATCTGGTGTAAGAGTTTCCGTTGTTTCCAGAGTCGTCGGATATGTAGATATCATGACCACACCCATCTCCAAAGGTGGGTCCATACGTATTACATCTGTACATTGCATATTGCTGATGTCGGTATTGTGTCAACTTTACGGGATTGTATCCTTTGACGTTATAGAGAGAGAAGATGAAAGCTTTACTGGCGTAGGAATAACCTGCGCAAGAACCAGCTGAAATAGAAGAACAATGTAGTCGTACATTAAAAAGCTGAAAGAAAACATAAACCCCCTGAGGAAGGAGAGGGGTGGGGAGTTCATTTTCTATCATGAGCTAGACGGGGAGTTTTTTTTTTTTCAGACCAGAGATTTGTGAAAGGGAGGGAGATATTTTACTAGTTTAGGTATTGAAACGAGTACCAAAAACAATTATGGAAGATTTGAGGAGTTATTCTGAAGAGAAGCGAGTAAACATT